CTTATGCACCCACTAATAAAAAAGTGAATATCAATCCTGAATTTCAGCACTTAATTTTTATTTGATTAATTGTAGGAATTTTTTTAAATATGACAGTGTAGCCAAATTGTTTTTTTTTTCAAAGCAGTTTTTTTTTGAGGTAGAAAACCATGATAGCCTCGAATAACTCGAAACAAAGGCAATTTTACCAATTGAGTTAAAAATAAATCCTTTTGGTAAAAAATTTATTTCTAAAACATGTTCTTAACCAAAATCTCACTTTCTTTAAATTACACCTATTGAGGGCAATTTCGCCGTAAAAAGGAAAATGTTTTTGCTGATCTGTCAATATGCACGATGCACAAATTGGAACATTATTTTTGCAGTTCATGGCCTTCTTTATAAACAAATAAATAATTTTTTTAACTGAAAAAATTAAAATTTGGAAATATTGTCAAAATATTGTTACACTGATTCTTGGTAAACTCAATTTATTTTTAAACTCAAACAAAATAGCGATATTAGCGCTTGTACAACCAGCCGCCACTGAATTTGACCAAAACAGGTCTATGTAAGTAATAATATTTAAAATTAATTATTAAATATATATTTAGGCTACATAATATTAGTCAATAACCAAAAATGTTAAGAGATACTTTTTGTTGTATTTGTAATTTTTTAATTTACCGAGATCTAGCCATATGATAGGATTGAGCCCCTGAAGACTTCTAATCAGAACATCACGTACTGTATCTCAGACAATTTGACGATGCTCCCGTTTGTATGAGAAAAGTGGGTGTCCTTTGGTCTATCGGTTGAATTATTCGAAGGATATCATTTCTTAAACTATTAGGTTTTGTTTCTCCAGCTACAGTAGAACCTAAAAAAAAATATAATTGCGATTATCACAATTTCGGCGAGTTGGAAGTGCAAGAAGTCACTGCAATGAAATATTATTGAGATTGAACCATTAGAAAAAATATCTTTAAGTTGAAGTATACTTTCCTCATATATTTCATTTCTGAAGTATCTTTTGAAATTTTATTAAAACAAAACTGATGTTTTTTATTTATCACACTCAGTATCAGTACTATAATATACAGTAATATAATACGTTGATTGATCTAAACAAGTTGTAGCAATGAACGTAAACATTTTCTTAATGCATACAATTCTTGGTGAATGTCGAATCACGCGGTTCTGAATAGAAAACATACCAATTTTTCAAAACAAATTTACAATCGTTTTCAATGGATTTATTTACAGAAAAATGTTTGAACGAGAATGAAAATAAATTACCGCAATATTAACAACTTTACACTCGGTTTGTACAATCCACAGCAAACAAATGAGGAAATAAACATTTTCATTTTGAAAATTTGAAAATAAATTATAACTTTTTTCTACGATCCAATAATATTTTTCAGTCAAGCCGTTAATTTTAGCTTAGACATCAATATTATCCGGTTTTTTTTGTTAAAAATACACCAAAGTAAGTAAACATTTAATTCTGTTTTGAACAAGTTAGAAGTATTTATGGATATGCATTATTTTGACATTTCTGACCATGTTGTATTTTCTTTTTAAAAGAGCCGTAAGAAAACGAAATCAAGGAATATATCGTTTTTTAGCAAATTTCTAAGAAAATATATTGTTTAATAAGTAGGAAATGATCATTAATTCCTTTTTCTGCGGCTATAACACGCTACTACCCACATTAAATAATAAGGAAATGTACATCATATATTAAGCAACAATAGTCGAGAAAGTGTAGTTTTGTATTATAGCTGACGAATTTGCAAAAAGACCAGCACCAGATATAAATATTGGAGTACCAGAAAGTACAGTTCGAGGATCCAAAACAAGAACATGGGAAAACCTTCATAGAAAGACCATGTTAAAAAAAAAACAAGAGAACTATTGGCTGAAAATAGGAATCAGTTGAAGACAATAACAGTAGAGGGGCACCTGAACAAAATAGACCTGTATAATGGATATATATATATATATATATATATATATATGGGGAGTCAAGAAATGACGAAGCTTTGACCCAAATATGAGTTAAAAACTAGTAAAGCATTTTTTCCGTTATTTTGAACCTTTAAAATGTTGAATTATTGCAGCGTTAATGTATCTCAAATTAAATTTTTGTCTTTTCGAGATGTTAATGATTTCGATTTTTATTATTTGTAAGTTAGTTATTGAAATTAGTATTTTGTCCCAAATACGGACATGTTTTGCATTAAGATTGTGACCCACAAATTCACAGAATACAGAAACGTTGATGTTGATTACAACTGAAAAATTTGTTAATCAAGAGACAAAATTATTTATTTTTTAATTTTGTGCTCCCTATTATCGAAACATTGAGATTTGATTGAAATTAGTAAGAAAATGTAAGATGTACAAATACATTTTAAAAATTCTGATTAGCAGCGTATTTTTTCGAACTGAATAAAATTCGTTAATATTTTTAAGTTCTGGCCTGGTTTTAAGCTTTAATTTATACGCAATTCAATACCATACTGAACAAAAAATATGTAGTGAATATGAAAAAACATACAATTAGCAAAATAGATAAATCACCCTATATCTTGATTATAAAGAATCAGAAACTCGTTTTCCCAATGAATCATTCTGTATAAAAGGTTATAATATAGGAAATTAATAAAAGAATCCTTTTATTTCTACTTATATACAGGGTTTTTCATGACGAATTAAATCTTTTGATCATATATCTATCGTGGGTAGGCAAAGGAGTATAAGTAAAAAATTTATGAGCTGAATGAATCTGTTATGTCTTATAAGTCGACTTATACTGATTTTCCCACCAAACAAAAGGTATTTTTGTGATTTATATTATTCATTTCAATAGCGACCCTAATAGAAAGTATTGACTTATCCCAGGTTTTACACTAGGTATAGATATAATTTACCCAAAATTTTTACTTATACTTTTTTGCCTATACACGATAGATAGGACCTCAAAATATAAATATTTTGTTAAATTACACTCAGTCAAAAGTTTTCTATTTCTAAGAGACAAGGTGTTAAAGTTAAATTTTTTTTGCGTTGTTTACAATATTTTCGTTATTACTCAACGTATTGACTTGCAAACTATTCATTTTTTTATTATTAACATTTCTAAAAAATTTGCATTTAAAATTTTTTAGCCACAGTATCTATTTAATTTACTTGAAAAAATACCGGTGTTACTTCCGAATATTTCTTTGGTAAAAATGTTCTGTAGCATATGTCGCTGGTGTTAGAAGAATTGGGTTCTTTTGTAGAAATAACTAACGAGTCATAGGTAGTAGAAAAAGAAGTGTTTCTAATTCACTATTTTCACTGAAGTAAATACATAGTAGTTGATTCCATTTAGATATAATAATTTTCTTATCTTCACTAACCAGTTTTAAAATATTTACAATTTTAGTTCATCACAATTTGATTAACTAATACAGTTGATTTTTTAGTTACCAACTTGAAAACATTTGTTTGTAGAATTTCTTATGCCATAATAATTGTAGAAGATATAACTTTCACCAGAAAATAAAATGCATTAAACTCTTGTAAAAATGTAGAAAGTAACGTGCCGTCGGCAGAAAGCACCTGAACGTTCGGATGGCAGACAACTGTGAGCGATAATGGCAAAAAGACAACTGAATCGTTGGTGGCAATAAGACAACTGAATCGTTGGTGGCAATAAGACAACTGAACTCGTTTGTGGCAATAAGACAACTACTGAATGCCGTTCGCGTCGAGCTCGCCCTAATATATACTGTTCGACCGAAATGAGTGTCCGGGGCATAGTTGACGCACCTATTCGGTTTCAACCAATGAAAACATCATGACATAATGAAATACGTCATTTGTGCTTCGTTAACTATGCGCCGGACACTCATTTTGTTCCAATGCACCGCTGTGCACCTGAAAACACAGGTGTTCGACGTTCGGTATTCTGAGAAAAATGCTATTTATAGTTTTATGACTTCACATTATATTAGGGTAAAAAGCAGTCGAACTATTTGAGAATTGTTTATTTATTTAGTAGATGTAAAATATTAATTTGTTGATGTTTTTACTGGTGAAATTGTAGAATTTAACCATTACTCCTCCAATATTTCAACAAAGTAGGCTTAAAAATGTACAGCTGTCAAATAATAAATTGTACGTGTTTTGTTCAAATGTACAATAAAGACTTGAAAGTAATTTATAAATGCCAAGAATCAAAAAAAATTAATGGTTTACTTCATTCAGTAGTACGTCTTATTTTAAAATTGAGAGGATTCTTATAATTTACTAGCTCAAGAATATAACTTTCAACTTAATAAGTTAGTTAATAACGAAAATATTGCATAGAAACGAAAAATAAATTTTAATCGCTTGTATCTCAGAAGTAAATACATTTGACTCAATGATATTTAACAAAATATTATTCTTTAGAGATCCTAAACCTATGGTTAAAATATTTCCTTATGAAACACCCTATATATATTTTTATTTCGTACCGTGTAAATACGAATAAAAATGTTTTTTCTTGTTATTTCTGATCTGTCGCAAAAGAATTATACATAAAATGAGAACAATTAAAAAACTTAACTTATATACCTAATCTGTTTGGCCTGGTGGAGGAACGGCAATTAGGGTTTGGCTCAGTGGCGGCTTGTGACCAAAATATTGAGGGTTCACAATGACAATATAGATCTTAGTACAAATAAAGGCAAAAACTTTCATTGTTTTAGAAAGGTATAAGTATAGAAAGGTGTAATAATTCACCTACATCTGTACTGATATCTATCTTCTGTCATTGTGGCCCCCAATATTTGGGTTACGAGTCACCACTGGTTTGTCGCCTGGAACTTGGCTGTGTTGTACATGAACAATTTACTCCAACAATTGGAAAATTAGGAGCCATTAGGATTCTTAAAAAATGTCGAATCTTATAAAATCAAAAAATGAACTACACAATTAAAAAAAATAATAATTTTAATGTAATCCTTTTTTTTTATTTTCAGCTCTCATTGAAGAGGGATATCATAGTACGAATCCTTATCATAATTCTATTCATGCGACTGATGTAACTCAAGCAATGCATTGTTTTTTACAAGAAGAAAGGGTAAGTAGGCTGTTTAATGGACAATATGTTAACATTTATTTCAATAAAAAAATTAGGAACCATTTCATCACTAACATAACTTTGAAAACTATTCTTTCACATGAGTTATAATAATTGTGCAGCATCATGACAGGAATGACCTTCTTCTATTATAATTCATTGCGCGATGATTAATATAAATAGTTGACTGTACCGATCTAGAAAGATTTGCCTTACCATTGTACCGGAATAGTATATTAACATTCAAGTTGCAGAAGGCCACATAGTCCCGCAGGAATTCTAAATTTGGCCACGAGTGACGAAGGAGCGAGTGGACGAACGAATGAGTGCGAGAATAGCCTTTTGCAACGTGTGTTTTATACTATTTTCTCGATTTTTGGGGCTTTATTTACATTTTTTTTTTTATTTTGGTGGTCGTTGTTAGTTGAGTATTTTTTTGCAAAATATGTCAGTTGGTAACACTTAGTTACTAATCAACTGAATTTATTTACCAGCAAAGTAGTGAATGTCAACTGAAAGATACTGATAAGTTTTGTGTTGTTATTAACGTAGTCTTCAACGTTTTATTATTCATATTTTTGATCAATTTTGTCACCAAAAATCTTTTAAAAATTAGCATTACTCGCGTCAAAGTAGGTTTTCACTTCGAACTTTGGTCGAAAAGGTCCAATCGGGCTATTTTTTTTTGCAAAATGTTCATTGAGACATGAGATTTAAAGATCACTAAAATCTAGATGCCGCTCGGCCTCCCTCCCCCCAAATTCACCCCAATTGGGGGGAATTCTCGGCTTTTTTCAACAAAAGGCGCATAAAACTGTAGTCCCAAGCGAGGTAAATGTTCCACTCGGGGGTTTTAAAGTACCCTGAATCCATTATTTGGGTCAGGTCGCCTTTGCGACCTTCCCAGTGGTGGGTGACAGGGCCACTGGGGGTCCAATATACTAGATGTCCGTGGAAATGTATTTGGGCTCCCAAATTGCACTAGGGGAGTTTAGAAGGGCGAAGATCTCAATGTCATCGAGAATTAAGCCTTTTCAAGCCCTCAGGGTCGTATAAGAAGGGGCCCATGGGGTCTCAAATATCATGATCACGCGGGATTGAATTTCAGGACACAGAATTGGTACGCGCTAGTGTTATAAAACAAACAAATCTATGTGTTGATCCCACCTTAAGTTATGGTCTATTATAATTCCAAGGTATTTTATTTTTCTTACAGGGGTAATGCTAAACGTATTTCCAACAATAAGGTTATAATCCGGAAGAGCGTTACTATAAGAACTAAATGGTATGTAATTTGTTTTTTTAAGTTTAATGACAAGAGCCTATGATCAAACTACATCTTTATTTTTTGTTCTAATTTTATCTTTAGAGTATACCAGTTACTATCTTCACAAAATATCAGATGAATTGTAGACTCAGATCCCCAGCAAACCCTTTTCCGGGAGGTTCAAGAGTGTATAACTCTGATAAAGAATTGCAATTAAGAACCTTCAAGATTTCGTGTGATGTAATGGCCAAGTGCCCCAACCCTAAACATCGAGATAATATCCTTGTTGATCTGGGCATGTCGTTGTATTGGCTGAGATTAAATGCCACTCGAATAAACCATTGGTTAGCTGCCTGGTCAGCGCAATTATATGAATTTTATATAATGAAATCGAATCAAATCGAGTCCCAGGGGAAACTTGATAGTTTCACCCCCTCAGCACCCTCGTTCGTGGAGCTCTGAAGCCGCCTGCTTGCAAGCCAGGGCAACATAAAATTACACTCTTACAAACCCTCATCATACCAACTTTGTATGAGAAAATGGAATTTTACGAGAATTTAAATTTGGGGTTCCTTGGAACCCCTATCGCTCATACCTGGGTTCGTCAGAGACTCAAAAAGGCCAAGGAGTATACTCTAGACTGGGCCAAAAAATAAAACATTTTTTTTTTCTTAGCGGAACTATGAAAATATTGTTCATGACGACAAAAAAAAAATTTCTGAAATTTTGAGCCCTTAATAATAATATTAAGAGGTGCATCATTGCAGTTATTGATTTTTCAACAGTTGTCGCGTTTTTGCATAAATTTCGGAATTGGTCAATTTTAAAAAAATTTCTCATCTCTTATCCTTGTAGGAAATTAAATTCCCCACAAAAAAGCTTTCTTAGTAAATTTTCGTAAGACGAGTCTATTCTTTGTAAATCCCAAATGCAAAGTGAAAAATTGAAAATATATACCAATGTTTAAGGCTCGATTACAAAGAATAGACTCGTCTTACGAAAATTTACTAAGAGAGCTTTTTTGTGGGGAATTTAATTTCCTACAAGGATAAGAGATGAAAAATTTTTTTAAAATTGACCAAGTCCAAAATTTATTTAAAAACGCGACAACTGTTGAAAAATCAATAACTGCAATGATGCACCTCTTAATATTATTATCAATCTTTCAGGAATTTTTTTTTTGTCGCCATGAACAATATTTTCATAGTTCCGTTAAGAAAAAAAATTGTTTTATTTTTTTGGCCCAGTCTAGTATACTCGCTGGCGGAATTATATCAATTTTACATGTTGATATCAAATAAAATCAAATTTCATATTTTGGGCCCCGGCACCCCTTTTGGACACCCCTGGTTGGGTTACAGGATTACAGGCTGCCCAATATAGAGTTTGTAGTTTTATAACACTATCGCGTACCTATTCTGTGTCCTGAAATTCAATCCCGCGTAATCATGAAATTTGAGACCCCACGAGCCCCTGTGTATACGGCTCTGATGGCTTGAAAAGGCTTAATTCTCGATGAAATTGAGATATCCGCCCTTCTAAACCCCCCTGACGCAACTTGGCAGCCCAAACACATTTACACGGACATCTCATATTTTGGACCCCCAGACGCCCTGTCACACACCCGTGGGAAGGTCGCAAAGGCGACCTAACCCAAATAATGGATTCAGGGCACTTCAAACCCTCCGAGTGGAACATTTGCCCCGCTTGGAACTTTAGTTTTAGAAAGTATGTGGCTTGTTGAGAAAAGCCGAGAATTCCCCCCAATTGGGGTGAATTTGTGGCGGGAGGGAGGCCGAGCGGCATCTAGATTTTGGTGAACTTTGAATATCATGTCTCAATGAATATTTTGCAGGAAAAAATAGCCCAATCGGACCTTTCCGACCAAAGTTAGAAGTTTCTGCGTTTTTAGTCCTACTTTAACGCGACTACATCATTCTTCAACGATTTTGCTTACGAGAATATAATATTCTTACACAAAAATCGAGAAAAAGAATTTGTTTATTTTTTGGGAGATTTATTTGAATCTTTATTAAATTCATATCCGTATTTACAAAGCATTTTTAAATAGTTACTTACGGGTACCCTTTAAATCGTTAATGGTATTAGTCAAATTCAAAAAATAAGATTATGTTTCCTCATATCGTTAACAAATTAAATATTCGTTAATATTTTTCTAAAATACATTTGAAAAATGCCAATTTGCCAAGAATACAATAATTAAATAACTGCGTAAATAAATATCGCTCAACTCTATTAAATATCCCATTATAATGACGTTTCTATCATTAAGGTTTTACATACTTATGGGTAAATTTAAAAATGTTCTGCGAATTAGGCTATTTTCATAAAAATATTTTAAGCCGTTTTAGAGTACGAGCAGAAAATATCTTGTAAAATTTCTACTATAACACCCTGTAATTTTTTTAGTATCCATTTTTAATATAAGCAAGTTAGCTTAAATTGACTTATTTTCGACCACAGAAACTGTGGTTAAATTTACTGTACATATTTTTGTTACTCCTTGTATAATTGGTAGGAAGAATCGTTCTACGAATGATACACTCTACTTCAAGATTATTTATCGCGTACATCTATCATATTTTGAACTGGTCAACTTATTTTGAGACCATTCAATATACTTCAATAAAATTAATAAAATTATTGTTTCTTTAACCCATTCCTCGTTGCGCCACTGACGTATAAAAGCGAGCAAAAAACACATTTTTAAAATAAGTTTATATCAGTAATGAAACAATTATAACCATAGAGTTCATTAAAACAAAAACTGTTATGAACAGCACATAAATAATAGTTCGTTGAAAAAATCCCTGATTTAATTTTTTATAAAAATTTTAATATTATTTCTAATGGTTTAAAATGAAACATTTGTTTGGATAAAATAAAATTGCATTCATTGTTTTTATTATTTTATAGAAAATAATCTACGAATCAAAAGAGTTAAATGTCTTATCGTCAGAAGGATAATTATTATATTTATAAAGCCTAAGTGAAAATGTTAATTCATACAGTGAGCACCTTAAGTCTTACCCCCCTATCTAACTCGTTACTGGAGTCTTGTTAGGAAAATCGCCGAGACACGTCGATTTTTGATTTCTACAATGTACATTTTTGTATGAATAGTTTCCCCTTATTTCATCCCTTACTGGTGGGGAGCAACCCTTTCGAAAAATTTAAATGACATGGGGTGGTGAGTGATAGCTCATTTGAAAGAGGGTTTTATTCTCTATTCAACCGTGTAAAAAAATTTAAAATTTGCTTCATTAATTCTCGACTAATTGTTGTTTCAGAATAACGGAAATTAACGTAGCGCACTCATCCTTAGAATTAAAATTCGGCCCTGCATGATTTCGGTTTTGGTTCAGACGTGAAGTAAGACTTTTTGCCATTAGAAGGTCACTGTTAGTCTAGTTGCTTCCCTATTTTGTGAGGTTTTGTTATTTTTAAACATTAATAAATCAACACGTAATTTAGCAAATTTCAAAATTTTTTGTACGGTTGAATAGAGAATAAAACCCCCTTTCAAATGAGCTATCACTCACCACCCCATGCCATTTAAATTTTTCAAAAGGGTCGCTACCCTCCAGTAAGGGATGAAATTAAGGGTAAACTAATCATGCAAAAATGTACATTGTAGAAATCAAAAATCGACCTGTCTCGGCGATTTTCCTAACAAGACCCCAGTAACGAGTTGTTAGGGGGGTAAGACTTATGATGCTCACTGTATATAAATTTATATATATTTTTCAGTTGCCTAACATCTGTTTTCTCAACTAAATTTAATCTGCTATTGTCTGAAATTAATTCTATAATATAACATGAAATTATTAAACATTTACAATTCCACTACCAGAAATTCAATAGATGAACCTAAAAGAAATTGTTAAATACAGTTTAACAAAATACAAAAATGTTTGAATTTAAGATAAGAAATTGTTAATTGCAAGGTGTGTGCCATTAAATAGGAACTAGGAAGCTCACTGACTATACCTCATGCCCAATTTTAATTAAATTGTTCCTGCTCGAAAGGTTCGGGCTTCAAATCCCGGGTGGGATCAAATTATTTTATACTTTCTTAAATTTATTTTATAAATATTAAAAATTATTAGTTCAAATCTCTATATTAATTATTTTTAAAATAGTTTATTTATCTTAATAACCTCTAAAATAGTTTTTATAATTTTGTCGTAGAAAAAATAAGGTAGATTGTTCGTACCACACTCAGAAACATCGTCTTCGTGCGATACGTCTACCATACCACTCTTGTTGCACGATAAATTATTATGTACTATTTAATTGTTTACTTTATAATTAATTTTTTTATTATTAATTATTTTCAGATCAGGCGATACATTACTCCTTTAGAAATCATGGCATCGTTAATTGGTGCTGTTGCTCACGATTTAGACCATCCTGGTGTTAATCAACATTTTCTCATCTCTACTTCAAATCATCTTGCCATTTTGTATCAAGTAAGTATTTCTACATTTAAATATGTCTTATCGCCTAACGTAATTAGAACGGACTAGAGTTTAACCATTTAACCATAATATGGTGTAATTTATGGTGTTCCAAATGCTGGCATGATACGTTAATTGTCTTTTAGTGTCGCCAAGCTTAATTACCAAGTCCTAGTGACAAAGGTGATAACAGAAAGTTCCGAGTGGTAAAAAAACACTATGAAATAAGCGCAATTTAATTACATAAGGTTGGTTTAAAACTTTCCATTGACAACGACTTCTAAATTTATTGTTGACTTGGATTGATTGTCTTTTACACACTATGTTTTAACATACTATCGCTGTTTCTGTTTCTCTGAAGTGACTTATTATGTTCTTTAAAAGTGTGTTTTGGGATCGATTTATGTTAATGCCGCCTTCTTGTTCGTTCCATTCTTCATTTCCTTCAAGTTTGGATTTGATCTAGTGTCTTAGCTCTAAAGGGTTCATCTAAGTTACAGCAATATAAATCTCGAACATTTTTTATCAACCAGGTAAGCATTCTTCAGACGTTTCTCTTATTTTGAACGATGAGCTTAAAATTTATGTTTTGGTCAACCCATCAAGGAATCTTTAATAATTTTCTGCAAAACCATATTTCAAACACTTCTAATTTCTTTAAATTTTGCTTTCTTTACTTCTTTCTTTTCACAAAAAGAATGGGAATATTATATAGTAGACATTAGAGTTGCTAGTGATGACAGTGACAACGCAGAAGGGATCCCAGTAAGGCAGAGAATTGGACAAATGATAGATGCTGTCTCATCTAAACGAGGGGGATAATGAGGAAGAAATAGAGGACGATGAGGATGATAGAGGATGAAGAAGAATATACACATATCGCCAAAATTCTTGAACCCTCCTCGTAAATGTTAAAACGAAATATTTATTATGCTTGCTTTTTTGTACATTTAGTCTTTATTTGTTTTACCGTTGGCATCTAAAAATGTTTACAAAAACAATTTCCAACAATTTTAGATACCAATGTTCAAAGAGTGGTTCATACCGATTTAGCGTTTAAGTGATTGTTGTTTTTCTTTGCAATTATGCCTGGCAATAGAATTTCAGTGTTCAGTAGAGCAAGAATAGTGGCTTTGCATAATGAGGGTCTGCCGAATCATTGAATAGCGGATAGACTAGAGATTCCCCGCGCTTCAGTCATCCGAATAGTGCGTTTATACCAGGAAACTAACAGCGTTGACTGAAAATGTGGCACTGGGCGTCCTAGGGTAACTAATGCAAGAAAAGATCGGTATGTAGAAGGTCATGTACGTCGGAGTCAAACTATAACTGTCTCAGCTCTCCGAACTAATTTTAGAAGAATGTATGGTCGATTCGTTTCCAGTGCCATAAGACTTGCTGTAACCAATTTACGATCTAGAAGACCATTAAAAGTATCCAGGTTACTTCCCAGACATAGCCGCTTATCTACAGTGGGCACAAAAACACAGAGACTGGCTTTTAGCTTAGTGACGAAATGTCCTTTTTTTGGACCAAACCAGATTTGGTTTAATTAGTAATAGTCGGCGACACAAAGTTTGGAGAGGGCCAAGGCGATCAGAAAGACTATCTTTTGCCAGAAAAGTCGTTCCATACTAAGGAGGAACAATAATGTTTTGGGGAGGCTTATTCCATGGTCGTCGTACGCAGCTTATTTCCATTCCAGACACTATGACAGGGGATAGAAATGTTCGAAAACTTTTTTGAACCCATTATTTATCCTCTCCGAAATGAAATTGGAGCCAATTTCATTTTCATGGATGGCAATGCTAGGCTCCATCGAGATTCAGAATATTCAAAGAAAACCGTTGCCAGAAAATTCGCCAGACATGAATCCTATTAAGCACATGTGGTATTTCGTTGGACATGCAAACTCAAACAGAATTAATCCTCCTATCACCCTTCGGGAACTCACAGTCGCGGCCCAAGAAGAATGGAACAACATCCGAATGGATACCATTAACGCCCTTATTGTTTTTTTTGCAAAGGCGAGTTAATACCTTACTACAGAACAAAGGCAACCACAGCAAATATTAATGCATTTTTGAGTTCGCTCTAAAGAGGTTTTCTTCTAGATTTTAAATTCAGGTAATCATTTTATTATGCACTATTTTTCGTTTGTATCTTTTTCTTGTTCAATTAAAATTTAATTCAGCCAATTTGCATTGGATATATAACCAAATTAAATGTACTCTGTAATACATTTCTTGACTTATAACAATAGTATCTTATTTTAACAAACATAAGGGGATCCAAGAATTTTGGCGATATGTATAACACTCAGAGTTGCCTTTAAGGTGCAAAAACCCTGATTGTGGAGGCAAGTCAATGTAAATGCTAGAAGTGTAATGGCCATATGTGCCTTTAAAATTAAATAAATTGTATTCTTACGTTTCATCAGCGATACTTTTTTAGATATAGTAATTATGTTTGTTAAGAACTTTTGGGTACAAATTAATATGCTATATTTTAATGACAAAAAAGTATTAATTAAACTCATTTGAGTACGTTTTAAGCAGAACATATATTTTTTTAACCCTTGGTACTGAAATGGTTAAAAATACCTAATAGTCCCTCATCTGACTACAAAAAGTGGCACTTTTTACTTGCTATTTGCAGTTGGGGACAAGGGAGGGGGCTGAACAACATATAATATGTCCTGCGGTGGTGGGAGCGTTCATGTGACTTTGAACTTGAAGTTACTTATTGATAGATTTTTGTCTTTTTTTGCTGGCAATAAAATATATTTTTTTGTTAATAACAATAAAAAAATCAATTTGCAAATATTGTCTGTTATCCGGTTTTACTACGTCCGGTGTAGAAATTTCGCCCACGTGACCGGATATTTACGTTTTTCAATGAAAATCGGAAAGTAGCTTAAACGCGTTTTTTTTTTAAATCTAAGATGATATTACAAGCATTTGTTTGTGTCTGCAAATGGGTTGATATGCAAAAAATGTAACCTTGAAGTAAGTATAAAATCTATACTAAAAGTAAAAAATTGGTTAAATTATTTTTGAAATATTTGTATAATTCTCAACTAAAGGTATTGCAATTGCAAGCATTTTTTATTCAGTAATTTTACTTCATTTAACTTTATATTCATCCGCAGGGTTCTGGGGAAAAAATATTAAAGTAACAGTGGCGGCTCGTGAGCTGCGAAGGTGGGGGGGCGCCAATTAGCTTGAGAGTGGGGATTATGGAAAATGTGTTATTTATTTAGTACACTTTCATTAATAGAAAAAATACCACACTGTTCACTGCGCCTTGTCAATAGTCAATAAACAAAGTGAGATATATTTCTTATAGTAAAACATCTTACAAAAATATTTAAAAAAAAAAACTTGAAAATCGATATGTTTATAATGTTTTTAATTTTTGTTTTTACGAAAGTTCAAGGCATGTATCACTTTCCGAAATTAAAATTTGCTGTACGATCCCTCATTGAAATAAAATTTTCAATTACTTTTTAGTAAAAATTATTTCTAAAAATTCCGTGAAAACTTTAAAAAACAATCGCCTAACGCCTCATCATCTAAATAATTATAAATGTACGTACGCCGCGAAAAAAATGCGTCCTTAATATACTAGAACAGTCGACCAAAACGAGGCGCGGCTAAATAGAGTACGAGTAAATAGTCCAACATGAAGTTGGCTCCGTGTTATGTGTCACTTTTGCAAAGAAGAATTAAATTGTAAATAAAAAGATTTTAAATTTGGAGATCATAAATATTTTTATTTTTCAATTAAAATTTGTATTAACAACAAAATCACTCCAATTAAAATAATTGTTTTTTGAATTATTTATTGTTAGATTTTATATACAGTGTGTCGCATTTAAGATGAAGACACCCCTATATCTAAATAAATACAGATTTAAAATTTTGCACAGTCATACAGGGTGATGGTTCACATTTTTCAAGATACTCAACTGAAATTTAAATTTTAAACGCGGCCTACTGCGAATCCACAAACAGGGTCAATTTTCGATATTTTTCTTCGCGTTAGAGATATCAGAAAAAGTTATTTGAATGTTTCGTGACAAAATTCGCATTTTTAGTTTTTTCATTATTTTGATCAATACACAAAATTATTAAAAGTTGATTTTTTTTATTCGATAAACTAGTGTGCCATGGAACGGAATAATTTGACAATTGTGAAATCATTAATGTCAATCAGATTAGACTTTCAGTTTAGTGTAAGTCATGTAATTTAAATTCTTCAGTAAAATAAATAACACTAACACAAACGAATAATTATTTTAAGAAAACAATAATTTTTAGTAGATAACTGATTAAATTTAAGAAAATAATTAAAACAACAATTTTCATAGTACAAATGACAATTTATCAAATGTTATCTCGCTGGACTAGTCCTCCATTTATTCGAATACATTTTTCAATTCTTTTACGATTGTCTGGATACTCGTCTAAGTTCTGGGATGCTGATTTCTTGACAGGCTTGTCTTATTCTGGCACAAAGTTCATCTCGATTTGTAGGCCTTGTTTTATATTTTTTATCAGTCCACAAAAATCGAGTGGTGTAATATTAGGGGACCTCGGAGGCCAGGGTTCAAAAGGACCGTTTCTTCCTATCCATCGCATAGGAAATTTTTGGTTTAACCATTGACGAACAATCCTTGAATTGTGAATGGATGCTCTAGCTGTCTCACATTGAGAGGAAGATTTTCTATAGAATCCCATAATTCTCCATAAAAAATGTTAACTAGCCGACCAGAATTTAATGATTCATTAAAGAAAAAAGGACCTAATATTTGGTCTTCTAAAATTCCACACCAGACAATGACTTTCTGGGAATATTGATCTTTACAATTTATAACCCAGTGGAGATTATTTCTGGCCCAGTAAGTACAATTTTGAGATGATACAACGCAATTGGTGGTGAATATAGCCTCATCTGTAAACATAATCTTCTTCAGAAAATGCATGTTATTTAAAAAATAACCTTGAGTC